GAAGAACTTCTTCACAGTTCGAGTGGCCAAGGTCTGGAATGGGCTCCCAAAGGAGGTGGTGCTCTCCCCTACCCTGGGGGTCTTCAAGAGGAGGTTGATGCATCTAGCTGGGGTCATCTGAACCCAGCACTCTCGTCATCTGAACCCAGGACTCTTTCCTGCCTATGCAGGGGGTCGGACTTGATCTATTGAGGTCCCTTCCGACCCTAACATCTATGAATCTATGAATCCCATCCCTCTCAAGCTTCTGCACATCCATTTTAAGTTGTGGAGCCCAGAATTGGACACAGTACTCCAGCTGCAGCCTCACCAAGGCCAAGTACAGCGGGAGGATGACATCCTGGGATTTGCTAGAGAAGCATCTATGGTTGCAAGCTAGACTTCTGCTCGCTTTACCGGCTGCAACATCACATTGGTGGCTATATTCATCTTGTGGTCAATCATGACCCCCAAGTCCCTTTCAGCCGTGGTGCTAGCAAGTGTAGCACTGCCGAGCCTATAAGCATGCTGCGGGTTTTTCTTCCCAATGTGGAGGAGTACCTTGCATTTTTCGGTGTTGAAGGCCATCAGGTTTTTGTCCGCCCATTTTCCGAGCCTGTCAAGATTGGCCTGGAGTTACCTAAACTAGAGTAAAAAGTTTCCTCATCCTCTGCTCCCTCTGAACACTGGCTCAGTGGGTAGTCCAGAGGGACATACGTGTGGAGAGGAAGCCAGTGGGAGACTGGCTCAGTGAGATGGATACCGCGCTACAAGGGGAAGGCTGCTGTCTTCCGGCCCCAGCTCATGTTTCTGCATTTTACATTTAATAGTCATTGCATAAAATGGATAGATAGCTGGTGCATGTGAGGGAGGTGGTGTTAAAAAGACCACACTGTTTAATTCAATCTTCAGCCTTGTTTTGAAGTTAAACATTTTAATTTTTCTGACTTTATACTAGGAACATATTTGATTCTGAATATTTCCATAAATTGCCTTAAAGCTGTAATACTCATGTGCAGGAAAAAAAGATTTTTGCTGCATCCCAAAACTGAGTTGCCGCATTTCATTCTGAGCTGTGCATGCAGAATACTTGAAAAAAAGTATTACAAAAATAACAACACTTTTTTGGCGATTTTTTTTTTTTTTTTTTTTTTGCCTGGTTCATTCTTTTTTTGTTTTGTAAAATAACTAACCTTTCCAATTAATGTTGCCACCTTAATGGTGTCACAAGCAATCAGCTAAAAATCCGAGGTGCATAGAATTAATGTATTTTTTTGTTTGGGCCCCCAAAAAATCATATTTACTGATTTTTATTTTTTTAGATATATATATATTTTTTTAATATAAAATATATTTAAAAATTGTAGTTGAGTCATGATAGAGCCATCATTAATTTTTGGAAACAGATAACTGTATAAATGAGGTTTGCTGGTTTTTTGTTTTGTTTTTAAGACCTGCTTTTACAGAGGATCTTTGTCAAACTTGTTGCCACTAACCCATGGCCTATGAGGTAATGTCTGCGACTTCTGGGTAAAATCAGCTTTAATACAGTTTATTCAGTGTGCAAGCCAAGGAAACAAGGTTTAAGTTGAATGTTTACTCTTCTTCTAGATCTTAGAATTGATTCTGGCTTAGGAGCTGTGAGGAAGTCTTCTTGCCAGATTAGAATAAACAGAAATGTCTCTTCATGAGCTAGAGAGTGCAGGCCTCTATGCTGAATTTATTTGTGATGGCTTTTAATAAGGTCTTAAGTGAAATGGGTAATGTTGAACATCTTTTTTTTCCATTGAAATAGATTTGTTAATGTAGTTTTAGTGGCATCTGAGTTGCATGTCAGCCAAACAACTGTAGCTTAACCAGCCAATTTTCTTGCTTTAGGAGAAGTTCAAAATGCTTATCTTATAAGTTTAGCAAGTTATCAAGCTAGTATTTAAAGTGATCAAGGAACACCCAACATGGAGATGTCAAAAGTAGAGGTAACAGTAGTTAAATCTCGGCCATTAGACACAGCCAAATGATTTTGCCCAGGAAAGATGAATTTGAGCAATAAGAATTCCGTGATCACCTCATGCACTCATCTCTGAAATTTCAATTTTAGCTGTATTGCCCCCGCGGAGATTAAATTGAATATCAAAAATACTATTTCCAGAGATGTAATCAGATTTAGATCAGTCACTGAGGGTATGACCAAACCTACATGTTACCTGCTTTAAAAGGGGAGGGGTGGTTTCATTACAGCTATATCACTAGGATCATGCAGACATAGTCATTTAATCTTAACATCCTTTATGATCCTTTGGTATCAATACAGTTGTTACATCTGTCTGTGCCATGATATTTGCTGCTTAGCCTTTTGTAAAGGTTCAACTTTGTGAATTTTTCTTGAAACGGAACTAAGAACTCTGCAGTCTTCTGGGCTTAAATTGTGTGTATGTTTGTGTAGATTAATTGTAGTCTGTGCTCTTGTAAATTGCTAGTATAACCTTTTCTTTTGAAAGGATGAGTATTAACTGCCTTGAAGCAGAAAGATTGTTATAAGACAGAATCTTCAATTTGACTTAAAATTTGAACATTAAAGTATGCGTGTGGTATCCACTTTGCCCTACCCAAAATATTAACCCATGTGTTGATTGATAGATAGTAAGTAAAAACAGAGAAAAATATATCTATTAGGTTTCCATGTGTGAGTAAGGAAGATGGGCATTTTAAAGTTAGATAGATAATAGATTTTAGTTTAATTCCCTTCTTTGTTTCTTTTTAGATTGTGAGGAAAAGAGTGCTGTCTGATAGCAGTGAAGATCGAGATACAGAAGAAGCTTTGAAAGAATTTGATTTCTTGGTTACATCAGATGAAGGAGATGGAGAATCCAGAAGTTCAGGAGATGGAACAGACTGGGGTAAGGACATTTTAATGGATTGCACAGAAAAAAAAGAGGATTAAGCATACACATTACTATTTTGCCAGGATTTTGTCCAAAACAATCCTACTCTAACTTTTTGGAAGGCAGACTGAGACTCTTTAAAAAGCTTATTTTACTATTACCTTTCTATATCTAGCTTTTATGCAGAGGTTCTTAGAAGTTCACTTTCTGAGTTGTGTTGTCTATTTTGCATATTGTAAATGCAGTTTAAATATTTGCATGTGGAGCATTATTATTTCCATCTATTCAGACTCCATAGATGCGCAGTATGATAAATCAACATATATAATCAATATATTGTGGACAGGAGCATGAGAGGCATTGAAACTTCTCCTTTCTTTATCTTCCATGGAGAAAGCAATGCGAGTCATAATGACTTAATTTTAGTGTATTCAGTGTACAAATAGGCAGCTGAAGCTGTACATCTCATGGCCCAACCCATTTTTACAGATGCCATTCCACTGCGGCTTCCAGGGTTATGATTGGACATCATTTTTCAATATCATAATATTGATTCCCTGGGGAGCTAGACACCGTAGATATTTAACAGGATAAAATGCATAACATCACAGTACATGTAAATACAGCTACAGGAATTCCGTTAGGTCAGTATATTTAAAAGTTGCTGCTTTGCCAAAAATAGTTGCCTTGAAAGCCATCCTGGAAGTTGCCTGCTGTTATGATTATAACTTTATCTCTTCAGCTTTTGGATTGTACTGTAACTGCCATTTGTTTCACTGAAATGTAATTAGTTGGCATTTGTCAGTAGGAGCCTTACTGTGAGACATTATTTTAATGCCTCAAACACCTTTGCCACCCTTTTTGTCTTCCATTGGGAACAGCCCAATACATATTTTTAAAAGTCTACTAAAAAACAAAAAAAAACCCGCAAAATGTTTGTCATGGGTATCTTGTATAGGATAGCAATATTCAATTTTTATGCAGCAATAAATACTAAGGCATATTTTATAGCCATAAATTTTCAATCCTTTTGAAATTAGATTCACAGAAGATTTTTTGAGCTTATTTATATCACAGCCTGTAATTAGTTATAATGGCCTGTCTACATAAACTTTTTCCTGGATCTGCCATTTTTAATCCTTTAGTAGTTTATTTATGTAAATTTGATTTAAATGAAACTTGAAATTTAAATTTAATATCATCTAAATACTTAGTATATTGGAAGCAGAAGGATATAGATATAAATGTTGTTTAAAAATGGACTTCTAGCTTTGATGCACATTTTTATAACCAATTTTAAGTACTTTTATAGTAATAATGTGTTAAACAGCTATGATTGCCATAACTGATCACAATTTAAAGACTCTTAAAAGTAGCCAGTGAACAGTCTGCAAATTATAAAACCTTTACATACTAGTTTAAGATGATTTGTAAGATTTGATTAAATATGACACACAGTACGTGCAAGAGATACTCAAGTGCATAGTACCAGAGGTGTGCTGTAGAGAATTTATGTCTGAAATAATTTACTGACAATTTTGCCAACTATGTCCTACATGTTTAAGCATTTTTGCCTGAGGAGAGCAAAGACTTCATCTCTAATCTGGAGAAGAAAAGTACAGTCAGCTAACACTTCTCTCTCTAACTTCAAAATACCAGTCCATTTCCACCAAACACTGAAGTGCCACCTCACCTTAGCTCATTTCATTTCATCATTCGTATATGTTAACAATATCTACTTTAAGCATTTCAAAGCAGATATTCATTCTGTCTACTCTGCATTTTTTCAACTGTCCTTTTTATTGTTTGTATTAAGTAAAAGATAACTATGTAACCCTTAATTCTAGCCTGCCCAGTAACATCAAATAGATTGGGATTAATGTATTCATCTAATTCAAATAATAAAACTGCTGTATCCTTTTTTCTTTTGTTTTCTCATATTCTTTTTGTGTATAATGTTTTTGTTTTTATTTAAAACCTGTCCCCTTATGCTATCTCCTCAACTCAGTTATTTTTCTTCAAATAGTGACCAAACCTTGGCACTTCTCCCAGTTGTGATTTTGATTAAGTATTTAATTGCATTATTTATTAAAAGTTGCGGCATCTTCATTGCCATTCTCTTTGATATTAATCTCTGCTCCCCGGCCAGTTTTGTACCCGCCCAAGCCTTGCTTATTGAGAGAGAGAGAGCGAGAGAAACTAAGTTAGTTTTTTCCATTCTTCTAATTAATTTTGTTGCCTTCTCAGACTGATCAGCTTTTTCAGTTTCACTTCTCACTTAGTGACCCTGTTTTGACATTTGTTCCGTCATGTCACCACCCTTATTCTTTGTGTTAAAGCCTTTTTTCAGAATACCTCCATTTATCTTCCTGTGTTGCTCACTTTTAGCTTTTCTTTGAATGCATCAACACTTGTGCTGTACTGCAGAGTAAATTAATTAGCTCTGCAATAAAGCATCACCATCTGCACATGCACCGGTATTAGGGTGCAGTAATTAATTAACTCAACTTTAAACTAGTATTGTCAGGGATAGTACTATCTTACGGCAGAGGAAGTAACTGCACTGACACACGCATGTAGATTGTGACAGGGGTTGGCTGGGGTTTGAGGGTGCTAAAGTGTGGGGGGCTGCTTGTCACCTAGTTGCACAGCTCTGCAGGTTTTGCACTTTCATGCCCCAGCTAACCCCTCTGATGCCGCCATCTGCCCGCCAAAGGCTTCTCTGCTCAGGCTCAAATTGCTGCCATCTCAGGTGCATATGTAGACTGCACACGGGAGCAGCTGCCTGGGTGAAATGGCTCTGGAGTTTGCTTTGCATTAATTGCACATGTAGACACACCCTCTGTGTCTCTCTCCTATCCACTTACCACCTCATTTCCTTCTGAGTATTACTATCCCTATATTCTCACAAACTTTTTGCATGCCTTACTGCCAAAATAACATCTGTCTTAGCCCAAGCCCTTTTGTGCAAACTACCCTCTCCCTTCTATCTCTGCTAGTTATTACAGTTCTGGAGATATTTCTTGCCTTCTGCCCCCAGAAAAATATGCAAACTTGCTGACAATGGAGAAGAGACATACTCTACGGAGAGCTGATATGCTTTCCTTTCCCCAGAAGCATGTATGGGGAACAGTTTATGTATAGAATCTATTATCTGTGCACAGATCAAAAGGATATGACAACCTTGTGGACATTCCAGCACAAAAGATCCATTAAGAGAATAAGTTCTTGCTTTGAATTTTTTTAATAAAAAGGTGTAGTTTATTCATGTGCAAAGTAAATTGGTTTTCTTTTTTAGATTTAAATGTCAGATTTTTTGAAACAACAGAAGTTATCTTTGTGTAAAGACATTCTCTAAATATGCATTCTCAGTGTGTAGATTATGCAAGATATACCCTTTAAATCGGTGATTCCCAAACTCTTGACAGGTTGCATACCACCAATTTAAAATGATACAACCTTAAGTGCCACCAGCAAATGTTTCAGTTCAGCCTTTAAGTACCACCAGCAAATTTTTGTCATAAAGTTATGATAAATCTGTTAATGCGTACCACTGAAAGGTTGTCCGTGTACCCCTGGTGATACCTGTACCACAGATTAGGAACTACTGCTTTAAATGACAGACCACTCATAGCCAAGTGATCTAGTATGAACCATTAGCAAAATATTTTTTTTAAAGGCAGGTGATCATTTTGCCTGTTTTCAAAGCAAATTGGGTGTTAGGGATACGGAACAAATTTTAAATATTATGGAAGAACTTGTAATGAAGAAGGTCTGGTCTTCAAATAATAGCTTTTTTTTTTTTACCAACAAGTAAACAGCTGGAATGGTCATAAAATAAATATGTAAATGGAGGAACTGTACTGCACATGACTTTCAGCTGTATGTAACAGTCAGCAGTTGTGGTGCATTTTTTCAGCGTGCTGGAAGAAATGTGTTTAATATGCTTACAATCAACCTTTCATTATGATTTTCAAAGCATGTAACACATATTGGTAAGTAGTATTTTCCCCTGCCTTGCAGCTGGGGTATCTGAGAGTCTGTGGCTTATTTCATGTGTCAACACAATTCCAGAGAGCTTTGTAAAAGATTCAGCCTTCCTAACTAAGTCTCATGTTCTGATCACTGGACATTCTGGGTCTGTCTGTGGCACAATGCAGGGTCATTTTCGAGATACCTCCAACTAACTTTGGTCATGCCGGTGTATCATACTGGAGTCTAAAGGCACAAGGCAACAACATGCAGAAATACCTAAGCCCTATTCTCAGAAGTTTTATTTGCTTGCAACTGCAGTGTCATACTGACATCAGTCTCCTACTCATATTCTGGAGCTAGTGTATACAGAGGTAGCTCGGGTATATATGCATGCTGCTGCCTTCACTGCAGTTTCCTAAATTTGGGGGGGACTGATTACTCAGTTTGCCTGTCATTTGTTAAAGCACATATTTTTTTTTACTTTAAGAGTTTTTTTTGAAGGCTTGGTGAAATGTAATTTTAAGTGGTTGAACAAAATAACATGAACTTACTTTTCAATATCAACGATAGCATATGACTAGGATTGTCAATATGAAATTCAGACACAGCACCCAGACTTCAAGTGTTGGTTTAGATAAGAAATATAATTGCTACTTATGGATACAGTATTTTTCTCTGGTAAAAAAAAAAAATATATATATATTAAAGCAGAATAGATATTCCATGCTTGTAACCGGAAAGAAATAAATCCCCAAGCAGGTGTTGCTTCAGTTCAAAGTGCCGCTTTCTTTGGTAGAGCGATTAGGCATGTGAAATTGAATCTCAAAATTATTGTCGTCTTAAAAAAAAAATTCTGGACAAAAAAATTGCAGTGTGACTAGCAATTTTATAGCATTCACAACCAGTGCTATTTCTGTGCATCTAAAAAGGAAGGCCTAAATAAAATCGACAACAGCTGCTACCTCCTTCAGTAAAAATTACTTAGTGACATTATTGAAAAAGGATATGTTTCATTTGTTTCACTTTGTTTAGAAAAGGAAGACCAGTGCCTCATGCCTGAAGCCTGGAATGTGGACCAGGGAGTAATAACCAAACTCAAGGAACAATACAAAAAGGAGCGCAAGGGGAAAAAAGGGGTGAAGAGTAAGTGGAAAACATTGTACCTTAAAATCATAAATCCCACATCTTTCACACCCCTAATTCTATCTTTCTTTCAATGTTTTCCTGAAACTACTTACTCTTTTACTTTGCTGCTCCTGACTGCTTTCCTGTTGTTCATCAATTTTCAGGGGTTGAAATTAATGATAGTCAATCCAGTTGCCTGAGAAAGTAGAAAGATGTTGCCTGGGATATCATTTTTCCAGTCTAGTGTTGACTGAATTCAAAAGGATTTGTGCTGGACTTGGATTGTGCACATCTAACATTTAAATGTTTATTTGGATTCTTTACTTTCACTGTACGTCTTAATTAGGAAAACATAGAAGCTTTATTTAGTTTGGCTGGGTGACCAGTTTCGAAGTCTGGTAAATAATTTTTTCAAAACCCAATACAACATTTCTAGTATCTTGTTAGCTGGTTTTGGGCGTGGGAGAAGACAGGTGTGGCAGGAAGGAAAGGAGGAAGTTAATTTCTACCCCTGTTTTACTTCGCAATCACAACATGAAAGTCATGCTGCTGTATCTTGTTATGCAGGGCTCGAAATGGAAAATAAATCTTATTGACAGCCTATTTGTCACGGGACGTATTGACCAATTATCATTTTATCTGTAGAATTAACAATTAAGTGTCGTATTTGATTAAGATCAAATAGCTGATCCAGCATCTGAAATACAGTTTCTAGCCCTGTGTGTCATACTTGTCTGTCACCTCTTTTGAAATGCAAATCCATTTTGTAAATCCTGTTTTATAAAACAACATAAGCATCAAAGCTTTTCAGAATCAAGTTAAATGTTTAAAATTGTAAATTGCCACTATTTTCAACCTACAGCTGTGTTGAGAATTTTGGGGGAATTATTTTTGGGAAAATTGAAGTATAAAAAAAGTTGTACCTTATTCAATGAGCAATTTGAAGACTGTTTCATTACTCCTCCCTTTGTGGGAAGATGCTTATTAGTGTAAAGGAACTCAATTCTAATACATGTTTGCAGAGTCATGCAAACAGCAGCTCTTCTCCATCATATTATTCTAGTTGCCTCATTTTGTTGTTTTGCAATTAATAAATGCTAATTGTGATTAGTAACTACCCAGTAATTTCTAGTTCTGAGATTGTAGTACAGGCTAAACTAACCAAATCAGTACTTATCAGTATAAGAATCTATTTAAAATATGAATGACTTTTGAGAGAACTGCATGTCCTTCAGTTTGGATTAGTTAAGTACATTTGATTTATCTGAAGAAAATGCAAGCCTGGTAAGAAGCTAAGCATCACAAAGTTTTGCTCAATAAACTATTTTTTTACATTTAAAATAGAGCTATAATATACCGCATGAGTTCACAGAAAATGAGTTCAATGACCTTATCTGTGAAATTAAAATTCATGTATATGATACCTAGTGTAAATATAGGATAAATATTTAACTTTCTAAAAAACATCTTAAGAAATCAAAATGAGTACTTTTCTCTCAAGCAGTTGAGTGCATTTATTCTAATTTATCAAATTGTAGTAGCTGATCATTAATTTAGGCACAGACACCATCAACTTTTCTTTGCATGTTTAATGAGCAAAGTGCCTGATGAAAGATGGCGTTTTGGTACCTTATGCTACTTCAGAAGGATTATAAGTACGGCTCAGTGTCATGTTTTTTCGATGGAGTGCTGAACTTGAGTGCTGCAGTACAGAAATTAAGCATCTTTCCATGGAGAAACAATTATTGAAAGGGCATGAACTTAGAAATTGAGAGGAGTTGCAACCTGTTATCACCTGTTCATGATTTTAGTGAAAAAGTGGTGAGCAAAAGAATCGTGGGGAAGTGGTGGGGCACAGGGTAGAACTCTAAAGGACTAAATATCTTACTGTTGAGATGTGAAATTTGTTTATGTAATTTTCCTCTCAACACAGATGAGTATCTAGAGACTGAACTGTTATTCAGTAAAATGTTGTGCATTTACTATAAATCAGATGCTGTAGTAAAACAGTCTTGCAAAATCTTTCTTGCTGTTTGCCTGTAGCAAGCAATGCTCTGAGACAAGCAAGTAAAATACCATCTAGTATTTTTATCATTGTTATGGTAAGGGTGGGCAAAGTGGATTTGCAGCTGGTTTAGAAAACTTACGATTTTGCAAGGCTGCAGTAAAATTTTCTATGAAGTAGTATAATAAAATCATACATATATTAGAATACACTTCTATGTTAACCTGCTTAAAAATAGCTGTATTATTTACTGGTCTAGGGAAAAAAAAACATATTGGACTATGGGTAAGAGATTTTCCCATTCTTAATTAAACTTACAACAGGAAAAACTACCGAAGATATGTTTCAGCCTCAATCCTATATAAAACAGTCAAAACAGGGATGTGGGAAAATGATGGAGCAAAGCACAGGTAAGTGTAAAGGGCATGGGTCTTCACCACATGTAGCTTCAGGAAGTAAGCCAATGAATCCAATTTGATTTGTTTAATATAAGTACCATAATCATTTAGACTATGTAGGACCACAGTTATACACTACTGCACAAAGTAATTTTAAAATATTCACAAATGTATTAAGAATGATGCACAAATCATGTTACGCAAACTTTAATATTCACAGTATTTGCAGTTATTTTAGGAATGCAATAAAGCATTTTTTTTTAAATCATTTTGTTGCTATGAGTTTATTTGGAGGTGGTATTTAACTTGATGCACGTAATAGTGTAAATTCATAAATGTGGGGGAAAATATGCATACAAATACCTCAGTTGCTTCATCATTTTCTTTTCAAGAAGTTCATTTCATGCTGGAAGGTTAGTTACTACTGGAAATAGCTGCTCATTAGTGACTTGTGTGGTAATATCATACTCAAAGATAGGATCCATTGTTGCTTGTCTTGATGTAACATATTAGATGTGATGCGTAGCATGGCTGCCAGTTTTGTTTACATAAACTGTTTCACTCTTTTGTTTTTCTTGGTTAGGGCCCAACAGGTCAAAGCTGCAAGACATGCTTGCAAACTTGAGAGATGTTGATGATCTCCCTTCATTACAACCGTCTGTTGCGCCACCTTCTAGACCCAGTAGCTCAAGACTTATTGAGCATGAGATAAACAGGACAGATGAAGGCAAGTATTTAAATCTGCATGTGCATATCTACAGTTTGAACTTGAATGTTACTTTTCATCTAAGAGTATCAGAGTGCTTTACAAATATTAATTTAGCCTTGCGATGTCTATGAGTAAGGTAAATATTATCTGCCCTCATGGGGAAAATTGAGAGAGATTTAAAGACTTGAACTAAAACCATTTAAAGCCGATGAAAAGGCTCAGTTGACATGTGAGTTTTGCAATATATGAGCCCTAAGTCACTGACTGATACTCCTACTTGAAGTTTGTCACAGTAAGGAGAGACACCTGACTCTACCACTAGTCTGACACCGAGTCCCAGCACTTAACTACAAAGTCATCCTATCCCCATGCATGATATATATCCATTACCTTTAAAATATATATTTAAATACAATGAAAACCTAGTGAAAGATACTTTGCAGTTAAACAAAAGGCTGTATCTCCCATGGAAATACTTGTAGTGACAGAGTCCAGAATTACAGAGAGGACAAGCAGTAATTTTACTTAGCAAGATTGCCCTTTTTCGTTTAGGGTCTGTATCTGAGATTCTCGGTGGTGTGTGGCTTTCCACCCTGGAATCTGAGATGTAGGTGTTGTCTTTGTGGCACTGAACCACTTGCCTTAAAAACAAAAAAAAACAAAAAAACCCCCCAAAAAACCAACTTACCAAACTTTTTCTTGTTATGTCCTGGTTCCCCACAACCTACCCCTAAAAATTGTTGTTGTAACTTAGCAACACCTTGAAACATTGGGGGAATTTGTGTTGAACATTTTCTGTCACCAAACTTTTATTTTGGCTTTTACCACCCATGAGAGAAGACAGCATTTGATTTTTGTTTTTTGTAACAGAGAGAATCAGTTTATTTTGTAAAAAGAGAGAACCAAAAAAAGCCTAGTTTATTTCTCATTAGACAAAGTGAAATACTAAAAGATAGCAGTTGAATATTCATTTAATAATAACCTAAGGTCCCCAACCCTCCTTTGATACTTGTGATATAATATACAAAATCTATTTGCATCTGTTTTAAATCCAACACGCAGTACATGAGCCTAGAGTGCATGCTCTCTGATATGGTGACAAGTAGTTCAGGAAAAATGTGCTGGATTTTCAGTGAAGACACTAGGCCAGTGGCTCTTAACCTTTTTAAGCTCAAGGCACTTCTTGTTAGTCGAGGCAGCTCTGAGAAAATGGTTCCTTGATTCTAACACCTAAACTCTAGGCACCTCTTAGCTTTCAGCCATTTTTGACTGGAAAAATAATAGATCAATCCTCCTGTTGCAAAGAATTAAAAAAGATCACAGCAGGTCACAGTATTTTTAACACTATGGGATTTCTACTTGAAATCTCTTGATTTAGCTCTTGAATCATGTGTAGGTGTTTTACACCAACAGTGCTACTCTTGCAGGGTACTGTGGCACCTTTAAAAGGGTCTCTCAGCGTGCCGGGGTGCTGCAGTAACCTGGTTAGGAATCACTGTACTAGGTTATGCTTGTCCCCTAGAGAATTGCAGCAACTTTTTCTGGCAACTGGTAATGAAGAACATCAAAACTAAAGGCAGATAGGAGAAGTTATCACTCCTGAAAATCAACTTGCAGGTGCATGAAGTGATACAGAATAAGCCATAAATGGAAATGGAAGAATAAGATGGTATCAACATAGTAAAGCAAAGGAGAAAAAAGATGTTTTTGATTTCAAAGACAGAAATTTGGATGGGATGAAGTTGTGTAGAGCCTTGAAGAATAGGGCAAACAGCTTTTATGTTGTTAGAAAAGTCAAGACAGAAACAGTTGCAGATTTATAAAAGTGCATGAAGGCACTTAAGGCAGACAGTTTGTCACATTGTGGAAGGATTGGAGAGGAGTTGTGTAGAAGAATGAGATGCAGTCAAAGCTCAGAGAACCATATGATAAATGGGCAAGTCTGCGCCACTGGCAGGTATTACGTTTATTGCATGAATCATGTTAACATGGTGCATGTTCAACCAATTTATCATGCGATTAAAATGGCAAGCCAGCCATGAAGATGTTCTGCACTTTTAATGTGGAACATTGAATATGTTGCGAGTCAAGACACTAAGAGGACAATGAAATGGGAGAGGAATCAGCTTGTTGATGGCATTGGATAATAGGAGACCAGTTTAACAAGTCCATCTAGGAATAGTTTATTAGAGAACCATGGGAAAAAGTTCCTATCCATCTGAAATAAAAACCTTATAAGGTCGGACAGTCCTAACAGTTCTAGTTTCCTTGAAACTTTTCCACCTGAGAGAGTATTCATGTCATAGCAAAACAAACGTCGCAATCAGTTGAAATTTGGAAATACAGTATACACATGAGGATGAATTTGACATCAGTGTGTATGCTTATAATAACATAGAACACAGTTTTGGAGCCTGTGGTCTCATAAAATTGTGGTAGAAAGTGAGGAAGTATCAAATTCAAAGGATCCCTTAGACAACAGCACAAAAAATTCCACCACAAACCAGTTAAACAGCTCTATTTCAGTAAAAATGCTGCAGGTTATTGAGGTAGACTGGTATGTTTACTGTTCATATTTTGTTAGTGCATTTCTTCCACATCTCTAATTTGGAGAATTCTCAACACATCTCAAGAGGGAGAATGCAAATGTACAGGAGCAGACAGCGAAGAGCAACATCAGAATAGTTTATACTAGTATAATTTAATAAGCAGTATAACTGTTATCTGTGACTGTGTCTACATGAGCTGCTGACTGCAGTCATTATTACACAGTAGCACTGAGGAACAGCTTTTTTGTGATGCTGACTGCGCAGTAGCTTGTGACTGCTGCACGGTTGTCATGTCACACTTTCTGCAATGCAGCGCTATCGTGCAGTTGTCACGGGCTACTGTGCAGTCAGTCTCTTGTGTAAACGTTGCCTGTAAGTCTTAATTGTTAAGTACAACTGTCAAGTCTGTCTACATCCCATGACTATGATGTCCAAACATCTCAGTTTGTACTTTTTTACCCAATTTTCTTTCATTGAGTCAGATGCTTTCTATGGAAGAGGGATTCAAATACTTAGCTTACTCCGCCATAGTCTCTGAGGGTGTCTAGTGCAGTGACTTGTAGCTCATATGAACACAACTGAGCTATCTCTAATTCTGTTCCTAGTGTAGCCCACATGGAGCTCAGTGCTCCCATAGCTAACTGCACAAGCACTCACGCAGATTTTTACGGATTTTGCAGCCTGTGCTGAGCATTGTGCAGCTACAGCTACACTGCTCTTAATACAAGAGCTCACTAAATTAGAGCTAGCCTGGGTATGTCAACACAAACTACAGTGACAGCAGTGTGGACATGTGCTTGGATAGCTGTGGAAGCAGCATAAGGAGGGAAAAGTCGAGACTTTTTGTCAGTACTTGAAATTCTCCAAAACTATTGCCTCACAAACATGTTCATGTTCCTTTCTTTCTGCTCCCTCATTTTTGTGAGTTGTGTAGAGAAGCAGAGGAAAGAGCTGTGTCCTTCTATATTACTTTAGGCCAGGGGTGCTCAACCTCTGGTCTGCAAACCAAATGCCGCCCACGCAGCTTTTGGAATTTAGCCCATAGGGCTCCCCATGGGTCAGGAAATTCGGCAGTGGTGGAGCAGTGATAGTACTTCCACCATTCCCCACTGCCAAAATCATGAGTCTTGCAGGGCAGGTAGGAACTAGGACACAATTCTTTCCCTGCATGTCCAGATTGGGGCTGAGCCACACCTCTTTCCCTTGTTGGGGCTGGGCTGCACCCCCTTTTCACCATGGGGCTGGAAAATACCCCTTCCCCCAGAGCACCTGGTTCAGGGCCAGCTCACACCCCCTTGTCCACCCACAGGGCTGGGCCATGCCCCCTTCCCCTCACAGGGTCAAGCCATACCCCTACTCTTGCAGGGCTGGATCAGAGCAGAGTCATGCCTCCTCCCTCTTTCTGGGGCCAGGTTGGGGTGGGGCCAAGCCCCCTTCTCCCACATGGCTGAAACAGGGTGAGGCTGTCCCCCTCTGCATGGCCACATAGGGCAACACCGTGCCTGCCCTGGGTGCTGAATTGGGTCCGTTGGCCAGATCCGGCCTGCAGAGGGACCAGGCACTGCCCATCTGACCCACCAGTCCAAAAAGTTGAGTACCGCTGCTTGAGGCTAGAGGTATCCACAAGTGGCACAGGCAACCTCTGTGTGTGGCATGGCAGATCAGGGAGGGGGCAAGCAACAAAGTGGCAGATAGGGCAAGGAGCAGAAAACAAAGCAGCAAATCAGGCAAGGGAGTACAGGACAGGGAGCAAAAATCAGAGCAGTACATGGGACAGAGAATGGGAAATGGAATGTCCCTTAAGAGGCCGTAAGCTTAATTTATGGCATGCCTGCCAGAAACATTGGCCCCCTAATACTTTAGGCATTTTAAATTCCTGAAATATGTACCTGGTAGTCTTCTCTCTTGTTGTGTCCCGACTTGCTTTTAAAAGTCTTGAGGAACATAGACTTCAGGGGTGTAGGTTTAAAAGTGATGCATTTAAAAAAGTTTGCTTACTAGTAGATTTGGGATTGTGATTACTGTTAGAATTTGTTTGTGTTTTTCTGCGCCTATATTGCCTTTGTCCCTGGTTATTAATTGAGGTATTATTTTACAGAGCAGAATGTAATTTTATATTTATTTACAAAAACTGTTAAGTTGTCTGCAAAAACCCATGAGTTTTGTTTTATTCTTTTTCTTGTAGTGGAAGCTTTAACATTCCCTCCTACTTCAGGGAAATCATTCATTATGGGAGCAGATGAAGCACTTGAGAATGAGCTGGGTCTTGGAGAACTGGCAGGCCTTACGGTTGCCAATGAGGCAGATTCACTAACGTATGATGTGAGTATCTTGTAAACTGTACTTCACAGTAATTGATCTTGGATTCTAACAACTCTACGTGTACATGAGTGACACTCTCGCTGAAGTCGATGTAATTTGCATATATGCAGACTGCAGGAAAAACATTAAAACAAAGGAAATACAACATATAAAATTGGCTTTGCAAAATGTAACATAATCCTTTTTAATAAAGGTTCCTGTCCTCTTTTATCCTTAAAGAGGTTGTTGGCAGCTTGACCTCCTAAGTGTTTTGTTCCTTTTGCCTTTAGTAACTGCCTCCACAACTTCGCCTCCTTTGTGGTCTGCATGTCTTGAGGTAGACCAGGGGTCCTCAACCCCCGGCTCACATGGCACACAACACCGTTTTCTCCGCACACCACAGCTGGCTTGGGCTCCAGGCAGCTGGCACCAGCCATGGAGCTTGAGCTGCTTGCAGCAGGTGGTAGGGAGGCTGCAAGACCTGCTGCCCAAAACCCGGGCTGGCTGTAGTCAGGAGGCTGCATACAGCTGCATGCGCACCTCTGGGCAGATGGCGGGGAAGAGAGCTGGGGCAATGCAACCCCAGCCCCTCCCCCACAATCCTCCTGAAGGCACGTGTGCTTCTGCTGGTGCCAGTGCTCTGGAGCCTAGTGCAGCTGTTTGCAGCCTCCTGGCTGCCTGGTGCAGCTGCCTGGAGCCCGTGGCCAGACATCATGACAGTGGCCACACATGCACCCACAGGTGAATGGTGAGGGAGGGGTGAACCCCTTCCCTGCCCTGCACCCCAAAGCACACGTGCAGTTGTCACTAATATGGAGCCCAGCTGGGGTTCCCGAGCCAGGCTCTGGGCTGCTGCAGTAGGCAGCAGAAAGCCTAAAAACAGCTGCACTGGGCTCTGGAGCACTGGCACCAGCACTGTGCTGGTGGCAACTGCACACTTGCCTTGGGATGCAGGGAAGGGGAAGGGGATGGGGCAGTGTAACCCCAGCCCCTCCCCCACCATCCGCCTGGAGGCATGTATGCATGTGTGCAGCATCTGCCAGCAGTGAGGATCGGGTGCCTCTTAACCCCTCTGTGGTCTGCCCTTGGCATGCCAAGTCAAGGTGTGGGTCAGTGTTGGGGTGTTTTTTGGGACTCCAGTCACAAATGTTGCTGACCCCTGTGATAGACCTTAGAAATAGAAAGCCAAAACCTTTAGAGGTAATGTTGTCATTTTGCACATATAACCCAGCACTAGCCAAAATTAACAGAGCTTTAATGATACATGGGAAGAATGGACTTCAGTGCATTAATAATCCCCGCCCTGCTGCACTCGAGCACATCAAAGGAAGAGCTAGTAGTAGGGAGGACACCTACAGAGCATCCTGACTACCTCGGTTCCATTTGGAGCATACGGGGGCAGCACAGATGTCACCTTAAAAGACTGATCTGCAGCCATGGGGCAGTTTTTTCACATTTCTTTAAAATCTCTATTTTCTAGGAAAGTGTGTTTTAGCTGTTTACTTTTAACCATCTCTCTGGGACTACTTATTTGGTGATCTTGCATTTTCGTGTCAGTTCTTCAGGTTTTTATTTTTGAGGGTAACCCTCTTATTGCTGGCCCCTTTAACATTCATCCTTGTTCACATTTTCTCCATAAAGTTTGCCTTTCAAACTCATTGGAGGCTTAGTCAACAAGATGTAGAATCTTTTCTTAACTGTAGACTAGCCTGTCTGGTAACTCCCAGCTGAGTTACTTGTTTATTCACACGTCGTAGCATTGCTTTTGAACCTGGATATGAATCAGGTGCTTATAACAGCAGGATTTTTCCTGAATTTTAAATAGAGCATTGGGTCCCAAACTTATTCAACCAACGGACCACCGTCAGGCTCAGAATTCCTTGTAGATTGCCATGTATCCTGATCAGACTTCTAATTGAAAATTCAAAGTGAGTGAGCATCATGACCCACAGACCACTGTTTGGGAATCACTGTTACAGGTTGTCTGAGAGGGTCAGTCTTTTAACTTTAGACCTAGGAATTAAATGAGATTTAAGGTAGCAGATGACTATTTCACTTGAGCAGTGGCAATCATTGGTGGGATTTGCAAAGTGGCAATGTGATGGTAGATTCATTTAGACGTCCTGACTGGATGGCACGTCTAGGTCAAATACTGATTTTGGAAACACTGACCGAGTCCTTCAGTCCCAGTATTCTATATCCACTTGTGAAATCCAAAAATCCATTCAGGTAATGTAAAGAGGGGGAAAAAGGGAACTGGCCTATTTTACTAGAACTGAAGTAACTTTTCTTACTTTAGAGGTTTTGGGATGTTCAGGTGCGTTTTTGGAGATTGAGGTAGATTGGCCAAAGAGACCATTAGAAGTGCCACGTGCAATACTGTATGAGGAAAAAAATAAATATGATCTGCTGTGAAGGCCTGCACTACATACTGTATGTTCTCACACACAACACATCTTTTTTCCCCCAAAATCAGTCCCTTGAAATTGGGGTACATGTATTAAGTGGGGAAGGTGATTTTTCCACCCAGGTTTGGAAGCCCTGAGGCTTGAATCCTGCTTTTCATTGCAGCGGCAGTGGTATTACTGTTCGGGTAGCTGAGGGAATCTATTGATTTAATGCCTCTATTATTATTCTTCACTCTACAGATGTTAACAATTGTCTCTCCTTTTGAATGGACTTAATGTTCCACTAATCAACCTAATCTTTCCTGGGAAATTTTTGCTGTCTGCTAGTTGCTCCTGGTCTCTCTCTTTTACAGCCTCTTTAGCTGTTTAGCACAGACACTCTAATTTTGAAAAGATCTACCTATGGAGACCTGTCTTCAGCATCAGCTAGGGGTTCTGCTTTAGTTATGCAGGAAAGGGAGGGTGAATCAGCTGGAGATCAGGCT